ATGCGTGTGCGTGCGTGTGAAGGGGTTGTGTGCATGTGTGTTTGGGGTTGGGAGGGGTTGTGGTTGAAAGTGAGAGGCAGCCGGGGGAGGGGAGCTGGCAGCAGCAACGATGCGAATTGGATGCGACCGCAAAAGTATGACGGCTCATGCACAGTCCCTCACACACCCACTTGCGCACGGGGCTCGTCAACATGCAACCGCACAATATCCAGCAACACGTATCGTCCTAGCGGGCCGCCCAGCCCCCCCTGGACCACACCTTTGAGAACCTCTTGGCGAGCTTCTTGTAGATGGGCTCCAGCGACTTGCAGTGGCCGCACCAGGGTGCGTACACCTCCAGCAGCACGTCCTTGGACTCGTCCTTCACGATCGCGTCAAAGTTTTTCCCCACAACAACCTGGGGGCGAGGAGAGCGGGGTTTGGGTGCGGTGCGGGATTAGGCCACATTGAGTTCATGGTGTGGCCACATTGAGTTCAATGGTGTGAGGGGAGAGCGGGTGGAAATGGGCCGGGTCCAAGGGTTAAGATGGGATTGGGCATGGGGTTTAAGGTGAAAATGCACTTGCGGGGGCAGTTGGCGTTGCGGTATACGTAGGCTGACACGGCAGCGAATGCAAGCCGGTGCACGCCCCGGCCGACCAGCCAGCCCGGCCCCGCCCAGTCCTGCCAGCCCCAGCCATGCCCACCGTGACGCCGCCGTCCAGGGGCTCGTCGGGGATGGCGGCGCTCTTGAACTCGGGGGTGAGCTTGCCGTCCAGGAGGTCCTGGGTGAACTTCTTGAGGTGCTTGGCGCTGAGGGTGGGCGCATGGTTTGGGGGAGGGAAAGGTGTGTGTGTGTGTTGTGATGGTTTGCATGTACAAAGGAAAGATGACAGGGCGAGAGAGGAAAGACACGCGCAACAGGGACGGCCGTTTGAGTGAAACAATGTGTTTCGGGAGCTGGACGGGAGTAGGGCGCCAAAGGGGCCATCGAAATGAGGCCGCAAGCTGGCGCCGTTGCAGTGCCCTGCCGCCCACTCGCTGTGCGCGACAGATCGCCGCACTGCCCGGGTACCACACCTCACTCATGTGCACCCGCCCACCATCACACACACACACACGCACACACACACACAAGACACCCACCTGATGTCATCGGCGAACTTGTACTTCTTGTTGCCGCCCATATCAAAGCCGACCACCACGGGGGCGTCGCCCTCCTTGATGCCGAAGAAGTTGACCACGGGCTCCTTGGCGCTGCCCTCAAGGTCCACGGTCACAAACACGGCCTTGCCTGGGGGAGAGAAGGGTGTGTGTACGTGTGAGTGTGTGCGAGTGAGAGGTTCTATGATGTGCAGGGCCGAGACAGCTGGCGGCGGCTGCAGTGGAGTTCCAGGAGCCCGAGCCTGAGGCCCGCGCATCACAGGCCCTCAGCCTGCGTCAGTGCTCCGAGCGGTGCCCAACCCTCGCCCCCTGCGGTCAGCATGTAGCAGACAGCAGGCCGCAGCAACCTCGGAGCTCCGCCGGCGCGCCCAAACGCGAAGCTCCGCCGGCCGCCCGCTTCCGAGCGGCAATCACGGGGCGGGCCGGCCGGGAGCCAGCGACCACGGGTTGCTGCACAGGATGGGCGACCTTGCCTGCCGTTGTGGTCATGTTCGAGGTCCTGCAGGCCCAGAAAAGGCCCGGCCCCCGCTCACCCTTGAGGTCTACGGCCGCCTCCCTGAATGCCTTGAATACCTTGGAGTCCTTCTTGAGGTCGGAGCCCTTGGCCAGCAGCAGCAGCTGCTTGTCGATGCCTTCGTTGTGGGGGAGAGGGGTTGGGTAGTTGGGATGGTGTGTGTGTGTGTGTGTGTGTGTGTGTGTGTGTGTGTGTGTGTGTGTGTGTGTG